GTCAACGCCATTGTGCCGCCGGATCAAGTAATGCCGACGGCGCTGCAATTTGCCAAAACGATCACCGCCAACTCACCCGACGCCGTTCAAAGCAGCAAGATCGGCATCGTTTGCGCCGAGCAGGAAGCGGGGTTGGATGCCGCTACTCGCGCGCACGTCGATAGCCCTGAAACGGAGCGCGTGTTTGCGGGGGAGAACATCTCGGTGGGGAAACGTCCTCAGTTAGTTTCGGCGCTACGCTTACAATTCTCCGTCGATAGGAGGGATTAAAGTCGTTTATCGAGGTGTGGGGCAACTTGTACGCTTTCGACGATCTTTTCGCGCTAACCTGCCGTGTGAACAGAAACGGAAGCCAAAGTGGGTCAATCCGAGGTTGTGTGGGGGGAGTATTGCGGCACGGTGCCGGAAAATCAATTGTAGATAGGGAGGGGGTGGGGGTTGTGGCACAGGGCCGGAAAATCAAGTGTAGATAGGGAGTAGTAATAATAAAGACTGCAATGGCTTTATATAAATTTTAGTGGTTCACCTTTCAACCAAATCTTCTCTGGTATATCGGTAGAACATCACCCTGTCAAATTGTACTCCGAGTACAACACGGTTGCGGTGAAGAGCTGGGTTCGACTCCCAGGAGGAGAGCTTTTTTGCAGTATTTTTTTTTTCATCCCACCTGACATCAGGAAAATGTGCCTCTGCTACAGCCTACAATGTAGGCCATATCACAGTATTGCAGTATGGTTAATTGATGGGAAGGGAGGGTGTCACATGTCTCAAAGGAACTCAACAGCGCGATCGCTGAATTAGGAAATCACGTGAGGTTATCTTATCTAATGTGATGAGCGGCAGGTCATTTGAGTATCACGCTGAACTTGGCGGGCTTAGCATTTGTTTATCAGGTGGGATTGAGTGCATGCAAGGGCGATATCAGTTAAGGGGGTGTAAAAGGGGACGACCAACACTAGGGTTGTGACAGCCCTGTATTTATATGTTAATTAGAGACATTCTAATCTATTCTAGTGTTATCTATATTATTCGCATATGTTCCTTGGGGAACAACGTGCCTTCGTTCGCGATTCTTGAAACTCAGCAAACTGCCGAACAAGGCCATGTGACTTGCACGCATATCCCCATTCAGGCAAAGCCCTGTTCCGATATTAATAGAATATTACTAATAAAGGCAATTCATCAAGCTCTTTGTGGAGCTTTGGTGAACTGTCATGAAAGTTCTGGTGTCGTCACACTGGTTTCCCAAATAAGGTAAGACTCACAGCCAAAGGAACTGCATTTATTCTACGTAGGATCTATCTACTGGCCGTGCAGTTCAGATGAAAGGCAGATGAAAGAAAAGGAAAGAAAAGAAGGAAAAGAAAACATTATCTATCTATTGCATTGCTAGAAGAGAAAGAAAGGGGGAAGGAGGGGTGGCGTGAAGTTGCTGCTGACGGCTTCCCGCAGTCCTGTGACAGTTGCCAGTGTTAGGGAACCGTGGGATCACGTCTACGCGACCCCTGCCCTTCCCCTTAGTTGCGAGTAGCGTAGCTCTAGCCCTTTCTCTGAATATATATGTTCCTATTTTCTTGTTCCGATACTGTGAAAAATGTAAGAATCCCGGATTTAATCTTCACAAAGAATTAACTAAGTTACCCTTTTGGGCCAGCCTTATTCGAGAAACTGGCCCGATGTTTACTCTCAATTTTCCCTGCTGGATTTGCCAAGCTATGCCTTGTAAGCTTGACAAATTGACAAAACCTATCAGGCTTAGTCATTCATGTAGGAAGTGCCATGAGGATTCAGGCTGTGGCTGCTTGATTGCCTAATAAGGCAGTAGCGCCGCAGCATGTGCCTGCATGTTGCGAGCTGTTCCTAAGGAGTGGCGGCGTGACTGTGGGAGCGGGAAGTCGCCACGCAGGATTACGAATAGAAAATGGCTAGTTTAGGAAATACCTGTAGAATGTATTAGGTAGCCACATAAATAGAATAATACAATTCTATCGTTCATATTACAATACTATGCGAGTGAGACAAGAAAAGGGGAAAGGGGAAGGGAGGGGAGCGTGAGTGTCGCGAGCAGGAGATGAGCTAATTCGGGATTGCCGAATTAGGGAGTATGCCAAGTCATGATTGAACATGGTGTTTAGACTCATAAGAATGATTGTAGAATCAAACTAAAGACGTTAAGCGAATGCGTCAGCGTGGCGCTTTCGAAAAGAGGTGGACTCACGGGGCTATTTCCAAATTAGGAAATAGAGACTTTCGCAACAGCAAAAGTGGGTGTCGACTATGGCGATGGTGCAACCTTTGTCCCGAAGGTCTAACAGTAAGCGCTCTTTATCCCAAAGAGCTAACAGTGGCGTCCTTTTGTCCTGCTGGACTTGCGGTAAGCATGCATATGAGGGGCGTTGGGGGTTTGAGGTGTTGGATAAGGGATGTCACGAAGCCCCTATTTATTAACTACAATAGAAGGTTCTAGAGTATCTGACAGTATTCTACAAAGTTCCTTACTTCTTGGCTAACGCGCAGGGACTCGGGGGATCGCCGGTGGTGCGGGCACGTGCTGTGGCACCTAATCGTCCTATTTGGGTAAGCAGCGGCTGCAGCCCGAATACTCGCGCTGACTCAGACTTAGATTGTTAAGCTAGGACCCTTTTGTTGATTTGTTGAGTTTAAGGGGTGCAGCTTGGCAAACTCGGCAAGAAGGATCAGGAGTAACGACGGGCCGGTTTCCCCAATAAGGCCGGCCCCAAAAAGGGTAACTTAGCTAATCCTTAGTGAACCTTAGATCTTGGACCCTTATATTATTTGCGGTATTGAAACAAGAAAATGGGAATATACCTTTATTTGGAGAATGAGCTAGGGCTACTCGCAACTAAGGGAAAGGGTGGGTCGCGTAGACGCGATCCCACGGTTCCCTAACACTGCATTGTCAGCGTGCCTCCGAGCCCCCCCCTTGCTTAGCGTATGTGTCACGACTTGGGCAAGGGGGTAGCAAGGCGCTCTTCGTGGGCAATGGTAAACAGAGAGATGTCACTAGGCGAGGTCCTCACACTAGCACGATGGTCGAGAGAGTACTTGGGATTGTGTAGACGAGAGGTGGAATGAGGAACAACCCTCCTCATTCCACTGAGTTTATATACTAAATGAAAGACTATTCTAGAAAGTCCATGAGTAAGCGAATGACAAATACAACAAACGTTTGACATGAGGCAATCAGTCAGCGAATGTGTAACGACAGGTGGTGAGCGCGAGGCGCTGACGCGTCGAAGGAATGATCGAGCCTTGAGGGTGAAACGAGGGTGGCGTGGGAAGGTAACCGGAGACAAGGTGATACGATGGAGGAGGTCATCACAGTATGTTCCATATTAAATGTAGAATATTCTAGAACATTCTCTGGTAGATAATATATAGTTGTTTGCGATAAGGAATCTTATCTTATTCTGACACCCAATTCCCAATGCCCTTCGTGTGCATAACTACTGCAAGTCCAGCAGGATAAAAGGACACCCACCGTTAGCTCTTTGGGATAAAGAGCACCTACTGTTAGATCTCCAGGATAAAGGTCAACTCATCGCCATTGTCGACACCCACTTCTGCCATCGTGAAAGCCTTAGTTTCCTTATTTGGAAACAGCTCCGTGAGTCCGCCTCCCCTCGAAAGCGCCTCACTGACGCGTTTGATTGGCATCTTTAGTTTGATTCCACAATCATTCTAATGACTTGAATTATTGTGCTTGAGCCTTGACCTGGCACATTCCCTAATTTGGTAACTCAAATCAGGCCGCTGCGACACTTGCACCCCCACTCTCCCCCCCTCTTCCCCCTTAATCATTTCACATCGTAGCACAAACCATAGAGTAGTGTTATTCTATCTATGTAACTATGTAATACCATCTACATGCGTTTCCTAAGCTAGCCATTCTCTTTTTGCACTCCTGTCACAAGGGAAAATCAGTCGTGACCTGAGTTAGAACACGTTTTTAACATTTCAAGGTCATGGCTTGTGACCGTGATGTGTCATGGTGTCTTTCATAGCTTGTGTTCTTCCTCCAAACAGGAGTCGTGCCTATGCCATGTTCCGGTCATGTCACTGGAATGCCTTGACCCATAACATGCTCCGCACATGGCAACGGTATGTAGAGTGTTACGTGAATGCCAAACTCATGTGTTGTAAATACCTGGGCCATGTCAGGCCCATGTTCGACTTTCTTACATGTATTGGACATGGCATGTGCCTGCAGGATATACATTTGGTTTGTATCTGATGTTTCCCCATTGTGTCTTCACTTCACCCATTGGCTAGGCATGCAGGATGCCTAATAAATGACACGCCCGTGCTGGTCACATGACCTGGCCGTGGTCGATGAGGGATCTTGCTCGGAACACGGCTTAAACATCACCAATGTATGAATGCCGACCACGGATCGTGATATCAACGTGATGTGGCCATGTTTTGTAAGTGAAATGATCTCGAACATGTATCAAACACTTGCAGGACATGGCATTAGAACATGGGTCATGTTCTGGGCGTGCAAGGAGCATGACCAGGTCCAGAGCACAAAAGCTCGATTCAATATGATTCAAGTGAATCAACTTGAATCAACTTGATTCAAATTTTCTAATTGATTCTCAATGAATCAAGAGTAGACGTGCACAAGGATACGGCTACGACCGATTAATTATGATTAAATATATATGATTACGATTAAATTACTTGCCTCCTGTATATCCTATCATGGATATTATCAATGAATAGATTATATTAGAGTACAGTTAGATTATATTACAGTTGTATATTTAATCGTAGTATGATAATAGTGCAGCCAGATCGGGGGGGTCAAAAATGGAACTCCCAGATGTAGCCGACAACCCATAAATCGGAGTGCGGAGTCTTGCTGACTCACTGACACACCTTTCGTGAAGGGAAGGTCGAGGTCTGGGCCAGACTGCAGCCCTTGGGAGGATCACTCACACGGTTTCAAGTTGACTAGCTGGCTGCCCAGTCCCCTGGCATTCTTCCGCTCCTGGAATCCTCACTACTCTGACAATCATTTCGCTTTTGGTAGGTCTTCGCCTTCAGGGAGAAGGTACAGTAGTTTCTTTCTGACGGTCACATGAGCAACTCCAAATCAGCTAACTGATGAAGGCACTCTTGTTTTCCCTAGAGTTGGCACTTTGGATGAGCCAGCAGCTTTCTGTTTGAGCCCACATAATGGTCAATTGCTAACAATGATCGCAAAGGAAAAGCAGAACAAGAAATGAGAAGAATCTTCCATTGATGTGATGGACGGCAACACCATTTATTGATAGGAATATAATATAATATATCCGAATACATCCAATTATTTGTGATTATATTTTATTAGGTTACGCATAGATTAAATTAACGCTCCCCATATATTCAATCTAGGCGATTAATTATGATTAGGGCTCTTCCCATAATTTAATCATAATTGTGCACATCTAATCAAGAGAATTCTGGGAATTGGTGAGAAATCGCAACCCTCAGGAAGGAAATCTGGGAACCACGGCTTCCTGGATTCCGGAGGGGATTTTGATTCAGATTAAACTAAAAATGTCAATCTAAGGGACTTAGGAAATACTGGATCTCAATGAACCAGTCGTTGTGGTGGAGGTCTGGTGGAG